GTAGGAAGACCACCTAACATTGGTCAGGGGAGCTGAACAGGAGATAGGAGACCTGGAGGTTCTAGAACAGGGCTCCAAGCCAGGAGGAAGACCTGGAGGGAGCCACAGGACAGCAGGCATGGCACTCTGGAAGAAGTGAAGCCAAGTTGTGGACTCAGGCTTCAGGGCCTAGGTGATGGGGGATAGCACTGTACACCTTCCCTGCATTCCCAGAGCAGGGCAGGGGAGAGTGTGACACAGGACACAGCATCCTCAGTCCAGAGATGAGGACAAGTGTTTCTCCCAAGGAGGAAGAGGGCATTTCCAGGGCCACAGAGTTTGACATGAGGATATAAGCAATCCTCCAAGCTACAGGAAACCCTGAGGCCACTTCTTGAATCTGGGTCCCCAGCTTCCCAGGAGCCAACAATGAAGTCTCCATCAGTGTCTGCAGACAGATCAAGGGGATCAAGAAGTCTAGGACATGTATTGGGTGACTCCCCTGTAGTTTAAGGCATTTGGGATACTACAAGAAGCTGTACAAGAAGGAGGGCTTCAGAGGGGAAGAGAGGTGGTTGTGGGGATGGTAGGCTGCCCCACCTGAGGGCCCCGGTGAACCAACGAGTCTTGGCTCCTAAACACTAGGAGAGGAGCAGAAGGAGCCTTGCAGCTCTATGGCTTCTCAGCAGCCCTATGCATTCAGATCCAGTCTATTCTATCTAAGCCCTGGACTTCAGCCAGACCTGCCAGGTGTTGATCTAGAGGTTGGGCAAGGAGCAAGGATGACTGTGTTTGACAGAGACTTTCATCCCTGTGTGCTGCCCAACTCAGCTGCTAATACAGACCTGGCCACAGGCAGAGCCACATTGGGGTGGGGGGCTTAGTACCCCTTAAGATCCCACAGAAACATACCCCCATGCACCTGCTGCATTCTTAGAGAAATGGGGACCCGGCCTGGGTGACTTCCTTTTTTTTTTTCTTTCTTTCTTTCTTTCTTTCTTTCTTCTTCTTTAACAGCGCCATAAGCTGTTGGGAGTGACCTGCTCCAAGAGACCACCTAATTAACGGTGGCCGTGAGGGGGATGAAAGAAAACTGGCTGTGAATCCAAAACGTGCCTTTCCTCTGGGCCAGCGGGATGCTCAGAGCCCCAGAGGCCGGCTCTGTGCTCCTCCTGCGACCAGCAGCTTCAGCTCCCCGATGTTTGCAGTTCATTGTGTGTGCGGTGTGTGTGGGTGTGGGAGGGGTGTCAAGGAGCATCCCATTAGACTGAGCAAACCCACGCAGGCAGAGAGGAAGGAAGACTTCATTCAGCTAACCTTTATCATGTACCTGCCCACCACACAGGACCCTGGGGACCCCACGGTAAGGTCTTTCTCTACTGGCAGGGGGCCCATGGTGTGGTGTTGAGGGTTCAAGTGAGATGTGATAAGGGGCAGAGAGATTCTGAGAAGAGGAAGGAGGGAGGTTGGGTGTCCCTGAGGACTTCGCAGAGGAGGGGTTGACAGTGGCCCAGGCCTTCATGAGAAGAGCACCCACTGGCTGTGGGGCCATATCTCCGTGTCTCTCTGCCCCTTCCCTCCCCACCCTTCCCTCATGTCTGCCTTGGTTCTTCTCTGCCTTGTGGAATCCTAGGATCTCAGAGCAGAAAGGTCTGGGAATCCTCTGGCCAAGTCTCTCTTGTTACGCCCAAGAATGCAGAAACAGGGAAATAACAGTAACTGGCCCAAGGTCACACAACTAATTTGGTGTCCGGTTTGTCCTTTGTTGTTTGTTTCTTACACATTTGTCTCCTCTGTGTGTGTGTGTATATGTATGTGTGTGTGTGTGTGTGTGTGTGTGTGTGTGTGTGTGTGTGTGCGTACACAAATCAACACAGGCAAAGTCACACAGACAGTCCTCGCTTTATCGCAGCACCCAGCGTACTGGGCACAGATACATTCTGACCCCAACAGGGAGGCTCACAGCTGCTCTGGCAAGGGAAGAACTGTGGGGGAGCCATAAGGGAAAGGACTGTGCCTCAGCCCCTCAAGTGGGGTAGGGATGAAGGTTATTGGGGGGGTCCAGAGGCCTCTCCTCCCATCTCTGGACTCTGGGCCTGGCCCCAAGATTAAGCCAGAGTTCCCAAGGGGCTTAGTCAGTCTGGGTCCCCTGACATGTCCTGGGATTTAGCGACCAAAAGAGAAGGCTGTGGGCTTAGGTTAGGGATGGGCCAGATCACAGAAGTCAAGGGTCCTGGTCTTAAGCGGTTCAAAAGGTCTCTCTTTACATTTGCCCCCCCAATTTGGGGGTAATTTTATTCTGATGAGTAAAGTTTTATTGCTGGGGGTGTAGGGAAAGCCGGCTGGAGAAGGGGTCTTTCTTGCAAGCTGTCCGTGCTCCCTCTAGTCTTCCATCCTTTGTTCCTCCCCTCACTACCTCCCTTCCTCTCCCGACTAGCTTCCCTTCTCTCCTTCCAGCCCTCCATCCCCTCCTCCCCGCCTTCCCCTCAACTCCCCCCAGCTGTGTCCCCTATCGGGACCTCCACCGAGGGCGGGAGCACGAGACTCTGGGCTCGGGCTGGGCCTTGGTGGCCATCTTCCCGGAGAGAAGGAGTTAAGTCTCTTCCCCGCATCCCTCCGCCCTCCTCTCCTCCCCCGGCCGCTGTGGAGTCCTGCAGCTGGGCCCTGGGCTGACCTTCACAGGGAGGGAGGCCGCAGCGCGCATGCCCGGGCCCAGGGACCCGCGCGGGCGGAGGGAAGGCTGTGCGGCCCGGCGGCCTGGGCCCCCTGCGCACCGGCGGTGGCCAGCTCGTCCAGCTCGGTGGGGGGCCCGGCGGCCCGAGCCGTCCCGCAGGCCGCGGCGCATCGCGCCGTGCGGAGAGCGGCGCTATGCCATTTGGTGCTGGCCGTGCTTCTGCGAGGGAAGGAGAGATGGGGGGACGGCAGGGGGGACTCCGGCTCGGCGGCCGCCTTACCCCAGACACGCTCTCGGCCTGCCCGGGTGTGGCCTGCGTCCTGTCGGGTTGGAAGAAATCTGGGCTCCCTACAGGCCCTTTTCCCACCTGCAGGCGCCGTGGCGTTACCCTGCGCCCTAATGGGGCTGAGCTGGTGGGGATCCTGGCCTTTGTGAGAAGGGAACCCTGGCCCGGAGCTCCACACCGGAGCCGCCCAGCTATGGGTCCACACACTAGAGAGCATGCTAACGTGTCTGCTCAAGAGTGCTGAGTGAGTCTGGCCTCCTGTGCATGGGATGTGGGGGCACCCAAAGTGTGCCCGTGTATGTAAATCCATGTGGCTCCTTGTCCCAGTGGCGCTTTGTCATGTGTGTGGTTCGTGATGTGTGTTTGGGGGTGTGTACCCATGGCTATCAGTCCTCTGTGATGATGGCCTCAGAAAGGCGGCTCAAGAGGGCCCTTATCTGTGGACCCGAGTGATGCTCACCAATTCCCAGCACTGGTATCCACACAGCCCTTGTTATGACCACCTCCCACAACCTTCTCAACCACCAAGACCACCTCCAGATCTCCCAGCCACTTCAGAAATCCCTTGCCCCTCCTTCAGCCTTCCTAGACCTCTAAGATGGGATGCCAGACCATCTCATCTGCTGTCTTTTCCTCCCAAGAGTTACCTCCAAAAATTGAGGACACTTAGCTTTATCCAAAGCATAGAGGTGTTCACCCCTTCCCAGAACCTCCAAGGACCAGGATTCCCTTGCTAGAAGTACAGTACAACTAGGTAGTTGTAGTGATGAAAATCCTTGGGCAAATGGCACAGCACTAGCTTGGTCTTCTGGCCTGTTGAGCTTTGCAAGTATCCTTGGGTTTTGATGTTGTGGAATCCCTGTACCCAGGCATGGGAGAAAAGTGGGACAAGGCCAGGTTCTGCCCTCAGGAACCACAGCCTTCTTTGGGGTACCAAACCTAACACACCCAAAGCAAAGGTCACACGAGGCATTAGTCCAGCCCAATTCATGGATAAGGTGCATTGAACTGGGTATTTGGAGAAGACCGAGATCTGTGCCCATGAGTGGGAGCCAGGGAAAGCTTCCTGTAGGAGCTGGGGTCTGACCTGGGCCTTAAAAGATGCATGTGATGGGACACAGAGAAGGCAAGTGGAGGCATTACAGGTGAAGAAATGGCAGGAGCAGAGTCTGTGTGTGTGTGTGTGGTGGAAGTGGGGGGTTAAAGGAAAGCAGCTGGACCTGAAGGGATCATCTCCCAGGCTATCAGCTGCCACTCCCATGGCTTGTGGCTGCTAAGACAGCCCATCCACAGTACGTGGACCAGTGTCTCCCACAGCTGTAGAGGTGTAGCACCCTGATCAAGATGCTTTCTCTAGCCTTTCAGAGGTACAGTAGGCACCTGAAAGATCAGTGACAGCTAGGAATACTACCAGGACCCATGAGAAACCCAGCGGTAGGCAGAAAATACTCTCTGCAGAACATTCCTGACCTCTGAAGACATTCCCAACAGTCAAAGGTTAGGACCCTCAGTGCAATACTGAGTCGTCAGGGCTCAAATTTTAAGACTTGCTCCAACAAATTCCCTCAGCCACTGTCCCTCCCTCTCCTGAATTCTGACGGTGCAGCCCCATAAACGTGACCCTCAGTTGTCCCAAAGACCATGGCTACCTCCTTCAGAAGGAGGGAAGGGGCGTGGCTTCGGGGCATGGGCGGGGCCAGAGCTCAGCCTAGGGAATCTCACGGTTTGCCCCTCCTTCCTGTTCTGTCTCCGCTCCAGGGTCAGCCAGCTCTCTTCACACCGTCCCTTCTGGGGCTCCCTCATCTTCCCACCCCACACCTGCTTTCTCTTCGGTCCTGACTAGGGTGGACCTCACCATCCCTAGCCTCTCTGGGTGCCCAGCACCTGGCCAGGAAGCCCTGCGTGCCCCATGCTTTCCTCCTACCCAGCCAAGCACCCACCCTGGCTCTGTACCATTCAACACGTTTACTCTTCCTGTTCTCCTGAGCCCGATCCATGTCCTCTTTTTGGAAAGACTTCCCCCATGGCCCTCACTTTCTCACGTAGAGACAAAGACTCACAGACCCAGAAATAGACTCCCACAGAGTTGCAAGGCACAGGCCGTGCCCTGCCCCGCACGCACGCGCGCAGGCACCAGCGGCACACAGACCAGGCGTTGGCCAGGGCGCTAACATCCACATGCACACCCACAGTCACTGCGCCGTGCCACAAAAGGGTGCGGACACACAGCGTGCACACACATCTGCAGCCGCCCGCGAGCCCGCCTGGTCCGGCACACCCACCGCAACCGGCCCTGGGACTGGAGCAAGGCCTCCTCGGGGCTTGGGCTCCCCCCGGATGCCTTCCAGCGAATGTTTCCCTACTTGGCCTGCCTGGTCTCTGGGGATAGGGCCTCAGAAATGCGGCAGGAGCCACTGGGGGGTGGGGGGGGTTGGAACTGCCTGTTCCCTGCCTGCGAATTCCCCAGCCGAGAAACTATTTGTGGCGAGGGCCGGGTGGCCGAAGAGCCCCCCGCCAGCTCCCCTGTGTCCCCTCCCCGTGCTGCCACCGGAGCGGCCTGGCCGCAGCGCTGCTGCCCAGTGCCCAGCCTCTGGCGGGTCGGTGCGCCTCGCCGCCGGTCGGCGCGGTCTGGACCCCCGGGGTGCAGGGCGCACGGGCGGGCTGCTCCGACCCCGCCGCGTCCGCGGGCAGACCCCGGGCCGCCGGACTATTTCTGTCTTATCAGTGCAGGAATGCGGCAGCCGCGGCGGTGGCGGCGGCGGGCGGGCGGCGGCGGCGTGGGCTGTGGGCCGTCAGGGCAGCCCTGAAGGGGCCCCCTCCCCACTCCGCTCGAGTAGAAGTGTGAGAGAGCCCAGCAGGACTCAGAGGGGAGAGTTGGAGGAAAAAAAAGGCAGAAAAGGGAAAGAAAGAGGAAGAGAGAGAGAGTGAGAGGAGCCGCTGAGCCCACCCCGATGGCCGCGGACGAAGTTGCCGGAGGGGCGCGCAAAGCCACGAAAAGCAAACTTTTTGAGTTTCTGGTCCATGGGGTGGTGAGTGGGGGAAAGTTAGCGGGGGAGGGTGAGCGAGCTGGCTCGGGCTGAATGGAGGGATGGTCGGGAGGGGCCACCGGCGCGCTCCTGCTCTCCCACCCCTCTGGTTGCGGGGGCATCACGGCCACGGCCCAGCCCCGGGACCATACCGGCGCCCTGGCATCCGAACACGTCGCCAAGCAGCCGGCTGGGGATGGGCGCGCGGCGGCCGGGAAGAGAGGCGTCGGCTTGGGCTCTTGTCAGGGGCTAGGGGTGGGATGTGAGGGCTGTGCCCCCCAAAAGGGGGGGTCCCCTCTATAGCCGACGTGTTGTCTTCTGTTCTTTTACTGGTGGGCCCAGGTGTTACCCCTGCCCCGGAGGTGGGGGTGGGGTGGCGACTGGGACACAAGGCATAGACTGGGCTGGGCTGCCTGTTGTCCCTGTTCATCGTTTGGGACAGTGTCACTCTGACTGGGTCTCAGGAGCTAGGAGCAAGTGACCCTGGAGGCAGCTCTCTGGCTGAGCCACCTCTGCATCCCAGTAGGAGGGCTCTGGGGACTTGGCCGTAGCCTTTGCTGTCAGAACAGGGAGAGGCCTACCCAACCAAGGGACCCCAAGTTAAAGGGTCAGAGGATCCTCTTGACAGACTCAGTCACCAGAAGTTATTGACCTTAACACCTCAAAGGTGTGAAGGAAGGGCCAGAGTTGGGGACAGTGAGGCCTAGAGACCAAAGGATAACTCTACACTGTCCTACCACAGACAGGCTGTGAAAGACACATGTGGAGCCTGAGGGAGCCCACAGACTTAAGGGGGTGGAGGCCTGAGTTGAGTCAGTGGGGGGGGGGCACTGAAAAGGTTGCAGGACTGAGGGGAAAAGAAGTCAGATTTACTCTGGCCAAATTTGGTTGTAACCCCAAGAAATGAGTCTCTAGACCCTTGACCTCTTCTAAGGATGGTACTGGTAGCTGGCACAGCACCTGGGGGCCCTCTCAGTAAACCAGCCATTATCACTGACCTTGATGAATGAGAGAGCAGCTGGTAGGGAAGAGGGCTTCCCTGAGGCAGCAGCCTGTCCTCCAACTGGAGAATCAGTTCCCGGGGCAGTGCTCTGGGCCACTGGAGTTACCAGTCCTAACCAAACTGCCTTAGGAGTTGCTTTAAAGAGTTCCACCCAGTAGCCAAAGAGGCTCTGCACATGGATTTGAATATGGTCAACTTAGAGCTTTGGTTCTTGGGTGACTGTGAGCCACACAGCCCCACTTTCAGGACATTCTCTATAGCAGTGGGGAATGGCTAGGCCTAGGCTGCCACCCTGGAGGCATGAATGACAGAGTCAGGTGGGGTGGGGGAGGTGAACATAGAGACAGGCATGTTCCACTGCATTGGAGCTAGATGGGCAGAAGCAGCTGCTGGCTGGGGGTAGAGGCCTTAGGGGTTAGCAGTGCAGGAAGTGGAATGCCAAGCCGGGGGTTGGGGTTAGGGCTCCTTCTTGTGCCTTGGGGTGAGATGAGGAGTACGTATTTATTTTTATTTATTTTGTCTTATTGAGGCAGGGCCTCCTGTAGCTCAGAGTGGCCTCAAACTTACTATGTGGCCAAGGATAACCTTGGACTTCTCTGATCCTCCTGCCTCCACCTCCCAAGTACTGAGATTACAAGTGTGTGTCACCATGCCCAGCTCATTCAGTGCTGGGGATTGAACCCCGTGTGCGCTAAGCAAGCACTGTACTGACCTACATCCCCAGCCTGAGAAGAAAGTGTTTAAATAATAGGGTCTGCATCAGTCTGTCCCTAATCACCTTCTGTTCTCCCTGACCCAGGTCCCAATCCCCATCCCACCTCTAGTCTACAGACTAAACCTCCCCACCTCCATCCTGGGGTCTGGACAAGTGGAATCTGGAACACTTCCCTTGGAGGCATTTGCCTCTCATCTGAATCTTGTCTGACTACCCAAGGGGCAGTGGCCAGGAGCAACAACCTGTTAGCTGCCCCTTCATGCCCCCCAACTTCTACCCTCACTGGGATGGGGTGGAACATGGGCTATCTCTGATCTAGGCAGAGATTCTGATTCCTTCAACCCATCCTTGCCCCCCCCCCCGGCAGCCCACTTCTCCCCATTTCCACTCAGAGAAACCTGGCAGGGTCTGGTGACATCAACCCCTCAGGTGCCCTTGTCGGGTCTCCAGCCTTCACCTTGGGAGAAATGAAATTATGGAGACAGGCTAAGCCAGTGTGTGTGGAAACCTGGAGTAACGTTTGAAATCAAGGGGCCAAACCTTGAGGGTCAGAGAGAAGGGGTGGGGGTATGCAAAGCAGAACAGCCCCAGAAGTGGAGACTGGAAAGCAGGAGCTCAGCCCCTCACCTCCCTCGGCAAGCAGCGGGAGCACAGACGGTTCAGGTGCCGCCTTTGCGGCGACCTTGGCGAGGTCGCTTTTCTCCTTGAGCCCCAGTTGCCCCATCTGTCAAGTGGGGATGAAAGAACCTGCGCAGTTGGCTTGCAAAGGACCCTGAGGATGTGAGCATCCTTTGAAAGGTTGAAAGGCGCCATTAGTATTCCTCTCCATATTCCTCTTTACCTTGCACGGCTCGGAGCTAGGCTATGCTCTGGGCAATTGCCTGGCTTCAGTTAGCTTCCTGCAGCGAGATGCAGAGCCCCCTCCTCCCGCCCCTGCCCCTCCCACCCATCGCTCCCACCCATCGCTCGCGTTCAGGGTTACCAGCCCCGGGTCTTGGAGAGGGGCGGGGACGCTGGATCAGCCGGCCTGGGGCTGGAACCCCAATCTGACCGGTGGGTGCCCGTCTCTGCTTCGCCTCCCGACCCCCCCCCCAGCGCCCCGGGATGCCGTCTGGAGCCCGAATGCCCCACCAGGGGGCGCCCATGGGCCCCCCGGGCTCCCCGTACATGGGCAGCCCCGCCGTGCGACCCGGCTTGGCCCCTGCGGGCATGGAGCCCGCCCGCAAGCGAGCAGCGCCCCCGCCCGGGCAGAGCCAGGCACAGAGCCAGGGCCAGCCAGTGCCCACCGCCCCCGCGCGGAGCCGCAGGTGAGTGCCCCCCCCCCGACGCGGAAGGGCGTGCAGGGGCGGGTGGGCAGACCCCTCGAGGACCAAGTGGGTGAGTAGTGGGACTGGAAGCTGAGAGGAAGCAGGGTTAGGAGGGACCCCGTCTTCTTGGCTTGGATACCCCTCGGGGAGGGCTTAGGGGCACTAGTCTGGTTCTTTTGTGTGTCCACAGTGGAGACACGCTGTGATAGCAGCCAGTGTCCCTTCGCTGCATGCACCCCTCGCTCTTCTGCGTGCCACCTGCTAAGTCCTTCGCACCTTTTGCCCCAAGTTCTGGGGGATGCTTCAGTCTTTGCGGGGTGGAGGCAGAGGTGGCAATAGACTGAGATTTAGCTGTGTGCGTTTCCCAAAGTGTGGTCTTCCGGCACCTTCCTGGGAGTCCCAGGCTGTTTGTCTCAGAGCCTCTCCTGATCTCCAGTCCCCATCTCTAGCAGTGGGTAGGGAGCCTGGAAATTTGCTCTGAAGGTGAGTGGTATCTGCCTAGTGTGCTTAGGTGATTCTTAGGCACTCAAGAGGATGAAGAGGTATTGGAATCCCTCCTAGGGACCAGGTCTGGCCCTAGGTCACTGGGACGAGCTTATTTCCTTGTCCAAAAAGTTACTGACACCCCAAAGCCCCTGCTGGTGTCTGGCAAGAGCCATGCCCCTCTGGGCAATAGTATTGTGGCAAACACAACATGCTTCCTTTTGCACAACAGATGGATTCTTATAAAAGGTGCAATATCAATTTTATCCAATTATTAAATACTTCTTACACATTAAGGAAAATTAATCATTTATAGGAATCCCAGGACGAATTTATTTACAAAGTGAATCATCATTTTGTATAGCAAAAAAATTCCCCAATCTGTTGTGTATAAATGGGTTGTTTTGCATAGATAAGTTGTTTGAAACAAATCATTCCTTTAATGAGGTGCTTGCCCAGCCCAAGAATGGGTTGATAATTCCCTTTGATTAGTTGCTTGCCTGGCCATAGAAGGGATTTCTGGATAGGGAGGGGGCAGCAGGTGAGAATACCACGTGGGGGCAGTGTAGAGCTATCCTCTAGGCTGTGTTCCATCTCTTGGCCAGTCTAGGGTATTCTGGGTTGCTTTTGAAAGTCAGAAGCATCTAGATTCCAGGTGCTGCTATACCAGGCCCAGCCAGTTTCATTCCAGTACCAAGTCACATCCCCTTAGACCCCTACCCCTATCTTTGCACACTCCCAGGGTCCTTGTGGGCGTAGTATGTCCCTTGTGCTGTTGACAGGTGGTCCAATCACACGCATCTCCCACCCTTAAGCAGTCCCTTCCATACCCAGAATGGCAGGAGTGCCAAGTCCCACCACCACCAGCTTCACACCAGCGCAGCTTGCTTCAGGAACCCCGGGGAGGAGTCCTTTCTCCCTCTCCTGGAGCTCAGCCCCTCTTGGACATACACCTCCCACTTGGCAGGAAAGGAAGGTCCTCAGAAACTGCTTTCTCTCTACTCTGCCCTCCCCCCGCCCCAGCGTTAATCAAACACTTCTGCAGCCCCCCTCTTTTGGCAGCACCTTCTCTCCTGCTAGTTCCTCCTAAGTCAATTTCTCTGGCTCTAAGGCTGTGATGGGGTATAAGGGGGAGGGGGCGCCAGGACAGAGAACGGATCAGTCACCCTGCCCTCCAAGGGGAGCACCAGCTCTGTATCTCCGCTGTAGCCCCTCCGGCGGGCAGACAAGCACAGGCTGTGGGAACCCCAGCCAGGCGGGCGGAGATGTCGGGATAATTTAGCAGGTGGCCTCGTTACTCCCAGATCTGTCGCCATGGTAACCTGGTTTTTTCTTTAAAAAATGTACAGTGCCAAGAGGAGGAAGATGGCTGACAAAATCCTCCCTCAAAGGGTGAGTGCCTTTCACAGCAGCCCCCAGCTGGCCCCCACCCTTTGCTGCTCCGCCCTCCCCTCCCCCTCAGGAGCGTCACAGCTACTTTCACTTTTTGTTTTAAAAGCTCATTAAGAAGTGCGGCTCCCTATGCCGGGTGGAAGGGAGGGAAGGAGCTAGAGAGACATGGTGGGGAGGGACAGAACAAGGGGCCAGTGGTTCAAAGGTCTAAAGGAGTGGGACAAAGAGAAGGTGAGGAGAGCAGAGGTAGCATGGGGAAGGGACAGTACAATTGAGGCACAGGTGTAGGGGCTGGTAACCAGGGTAGAAGTTAGCACACTACCTCCCAACTGTCTCGGGTAACCCAAAGTCTCAGCACTTTGCAGGGACCCACCGGTAGCTGTCTGACAAGGGATGTGACAGGATGAGGTTAGGCACTTGAGCCCGCTGGGCCGCCAGTTGCCCCTCCTTCCCTAGTGATGAGATGCATGGATGTCCCTGGAGGGAGAAGCAATTTTTATCCGCACACAATGAGGCCGCATAATAGAGTTCTAGGGACAAGTCCTATCTGCACTCTCGGAATTCCACACCCTGAAATCAATTGGACAGCTTCCCTGGTGTCCTTTGTGCCCTGGGGTCACAGAACAGGCACATATTCTGCAAGACTGACTGAGCCTTGCTTCCACCCTCCTCCTCCAGATTCGGGAGCTGGTCCCGGAGTCCCAGGCTTACATGGACCTCCTAGCATTTGAGAGGAAACTGGATCAAACTATCATGAGGAAGCGGGTGGACATCCAGGAGGCCCTGAAGAGGCCCATGAAGGTGCCTTAGTGTGGGGGTAGGAAGAGAGGCTCCAAGTGCCCTGTCCAGGAGGAAGTAGGGTCACCCCTGGGTGGGTGCACACAGCCTTCGTTCTTACTACACTTTATTTCTACAGCAAAAGCGGAAGCTGCGCCTTTATATCTCCAATACTTTTAACCCTGCGAAGCCTGATGCAGAAGATTCTGACGGCAGCATTGCCTCCTGGGAGCTGCGGGTGGAGGGGAAGCTCCTGGATGATGTACGTCCTGGCCCAGGTCTCTCCAGGTGTCCTGGGGTGGGTATGGGCTGAGTCAAGAACAGAACTAGATGTCTGCACCAGTTGTGGAGCCAGCCCTGGCTGGGGTGGTGGGCCTGAGGACAGACTGCTTCTGAGTGTGCCTCCTGCCTGCTGCCAGCCTGGCCCATTCTGTATCCACGGTCTTTGTTCTGCCCCCACAGTCCCTGTTCTTTCCCTACAGCCCAGTAAGCAGAAGCGGAAGTTCTCTTCCTTCTTCAAGAGTTTGGTCATTGAGCTGGACAAAGACCTTTATGGCCCCGACAACCACCTCGTTGAGGTAAGGCAGATCACTTCAGTCCTTGACTCACCTCCTTCCCTCCCACCCAAGGACCTGAAGAACCTGCAGCCTTGGACTATAGACCCTCTTAGAGCCCTAGGCCCCACCAATCTACATGGCCCTGTGGATGACCCAGCTCTTCTCCCTGGGCAGTGGCACCGGACACCCACCACCCAGGAGACAGATGGGTTCCAGGTGAAGAGGCCAGGAGACCTGAGTGTGCGCTGTACCCTGCTGCTCATGCTGGACTATCAGGTCCGTTGCACCTCCCACCTCTGGCATATGCCACCCAGGCCCTCATGTGCATCCTGAAACCCCATTCTCCTTCCTGCCCATCTTCTTCAAGAACATACTGCCAAGGCCCCTAATCCCCATGCCCCTCAGTCCCAAGCTGCCTAGGCATGAGCCCTTCCTACTGCTTCCTCTAATATCTAATTGTCTAATTGATCCGATTGTCCTGGTCACCTTTTCCCAGCCTCCCCAGTTCAAACTGGACCCCCGCTTAGCACGGCTGCTAGGATTGCATACACAGAGTCGCTCAGCCATTGTCCAGGCCCTGTGGCAGTACGTGAAGACCAACAGGCTGCAGGACTCCCACGACAAGGAGTACATCAATGGAGACAAGTACTTCCAGCAGGTAACCTACCTCAGGAGCCCAGGCATGGAGGGAGCAGGCTGTGCTCTAGCAGGGGAAGCAACTGCCCCCCCCCTCGCCCCAAGTTCCTGAGCATCAGGAACCAGCACAGGCATGGTCTTGGAGCCAAGCAGCTAGAGTCTAGTCTAGGCTCTTCCACAGTCCATTTGCCTCCCCAGGGGAGGAAAATCTGGAGCCCTACTGGGAGATCTGATCTCCTTGATAGCATCCTACAGTGTAATCTTGGTAGAGTTGAGACCCTGGGGTTCTAGTCCTGAGTCTAGACTCTGGATTAGTTACTTTGCCATTCTGCCTCTTGTCCCATCTTTTAAGGGGGTGGTGGTGGTGGTGGTGGTGTGTGTGTGAAAGCTATGCCATCAAATGTATCTGGCAGCTAAGAGAAATCAGATTGCTGCAAAAATATTTGGTAAAATTCTACCAGAGTATTATTATTAATGTGTTTTAAAATAAACACAGAAGATAAATCAGTGTAGAAATAGTAGTTGATATTTATTGAGCACTTACCAGGCATTGTTCCAAGTACTTATTTTTGTGTATTGATTCACTGAATTCTTACCGCAGAGAGACAGGGACTGTTAATATCCCCATTCTAGAGATGAAGAACTGAGGCCAGGCATAGTGGTGCATGCCTTTAGTCCCAGCACTGCCTCTGGGGAGGCAGAGGCACGTGGATCTCTCTGAGTTCATGGTCAGCCTGGTCTACATAGTGAGTTCCAGGCTAGCTGGGGCTACAGGGAGACCCTGTCTCAAAAAGACTAAAAAAAAGAGAGAGAGATGAAGAACTGAGGCCAGAGGTATAACTTGCTCAAGGTTGCATGGAATGTAGCAGAAAGGTCTGACACCCAGCAAGCAGACTCAGGGTCCTATACTGGCCTCCCCATTAGCCATGCCAGGGTCTCCACCTCCAGCCTGGTCATCGCACCCTCTGACTACCTCTCAGCCTTGTGGCCTTTCCAGAACTAAGGATTTGAATTAGTTAGCATCTCTTCAAATGCACACAAGTGATTTCCCTCTCAACTGTCCTGCTTCAGATTTTTGACTGTCCCCGCCTGAAGTTTTCTGAGATTCCCCAACGCCTCACAGCCTTGTTGCTGCCCCCTGACCCAATTGTCATCAACCACGTCATCAGGTGAGGTAGCCCCAGGGTCCTCCTCACACCAGGGGATGGGTCATCCCTACCCTCCCTGCTCTCTCCACACCCCATTTTCTACCACTCCCCTCCCTCCCTCCCTATGCACCCACCCCAGCCCCGGCCTGGGCCTCTGTGGGGTGTACCATGGACATCAAGGGCTGGAATTCTCTGGCAGCGTGGACCCATCAGACCAGAAGAAGACAGCATGCTATGACATTGATGTGGAAGTGGAGGAGCCACTGAAGGGGCAGATGAGCAGCTTCCTCCTGTCCACGGCCAACCAGCAGGAGATCAGTGCTCTGGACAGTAAGGTATGGCCTGAGCCCAGAACTGGAGTGGGACATTAACTAAGAAAGGACAAAGCACTCAGACCAGGGCATGGCCTAGGACACAAGGGACACACAGACCAGAGAGTGGCCTGGGACACAAAGGACACACAGACCAGAGCATGACCTAGGACAGGAGGGACACACAAACCAGAGCATGGCCCAGGACACAAGGGACACACAGACCAGAGCATGGCCTGGGACACGAGGGACACACAGTCCTTCCCTGCTGCCGAGAGGCTGACCCCATTCCAAGTTCAGCTTGACAACCCCCCCCACCAGCCTTCACTAGACTCGAAGCAGGGACTCTAGGGACTGCCCTTCACAAGAGAAGCAATCCCTCTCCCTCCCTTCTTCCCCACCCTCTTCCTCTTCCAGTCCTCTCCCACAACACAGGGCCAGGTGGAAATGGTAATCTTTCTACCTGTAGATCCATGAGACGATTGAGTCCATAAACCAGCTCAAGATCCAGAGGGACTTCATGCTAAGCTTCTCCAGAGACCCCAAAGGCTATGTCCAAGACCTGCTCCGCTCCCAGAGCCGTGACCTCAAGGTGAGGAGGGAGGCTTGGGGAGCACTGGATTGAAGACAAGCACAGGGAAGGAAAGATACAAATGTACCTTGGGGCAGGACTGATCCCATACTCCCTCCCAGGTGATGACAGATGTGGCCGGCAACCCTGAAGAGGAGCGCCGAGCCGAGTTCTACCACCAGCCCTGGTCCCAGGAAGCCGTCAGCCGCTACTTCTACTGCAAGGTAATGGAGGTCCTCAAGCATGAGGCTTTTTTATCCTCCAATCCAGGAGCACCCTTGTTTCTCAGCTGCCAGCCATCTTGGCTGCTCCCCATGGTAACCCCTGTCCACCACCCCACTCCCAGACTCCTCTAGGGTTAGGGTGCCAGGTGGGTGGGCCACCCTGGTCGCTCACCAGGAGCACTGTGACCCTGCCCCTGCTCACACTTCCTCTAAAGATCCAGCAGCGCAGGCAGGAGCTGGAACAGTCGCTGGTTGTACGCAACACCTAGGAGCCTGCGAATAAGCGTCACTGCGGACCAGCCAGCCACACTCCCTGGCATCGACCCTGGGCTCTGGCCTCTCCCTTGCTGATGTGATGGGGGGAAGACTAGATTAAAGGTCATTCATCAGACTGCAACCTTGTGGTCATTGGAAACTGGGAAGGGAGGGAGGGAAGGCAAGAGGGAGGGGGAAGGCAGTGAATCCCTGCAAAATTTCTACCCCACTCCCTCAGATTCTTCTCCTTACCCCACTTTCCCTAGACCTAAAAACAGTTTGGCAGAAGATACTTTAATAACACTTTCTCTTTTAAAAAAAATACAGTAACAACCCCTCCATCTGTCCATCACCTTGCCTTGCCCTTCTTGGGGCTACGCAGACATAGGGGTGGGAGAGCTAAGTGCTATTGGCTTGCTCCTGCTCAAACAGAGCCATGGCCAGCTGGGCACGGCCCCCCAGCCCCTCCAGATTGCTGAGGCGGCAGCGGTGGTACAGTTCCTCACTGAGCCTGGGGCTGCAGTCCCGCAGAGAGAACTTCTGCACCAGCCCTGGCTCTACGGCTCGAAAGAGGTGGAGCCCTGAGAACCGGAGGAAAACATCCATCACCTCCAGCCCCTCCAGGGCTTCCTCCTCTTCCTGGCCCGCCAGTTCACTAGCCAGCCGGGCTCGGGCTGCCAGGTAGTCAGCATTGTAGAAGCAACCCTCTGCTGATGCCTGCCGGTCAAATCTCCCCCCAACTGGAGCCCCCCGAGAAGGATCCGCACCAGGAGGGGAAGGGGGATCAGGGCCAGCCCCTGGGGGAGATCTCTGTGGTGACAGAACGGGGTTAAACTCCTGGAAGTGGACTGGAAAGAAGACCTGCCAGCCAGAGATGGCGTTCATGCGGCAGCGGTTGAGGACTTCCGATCCAGGCCTTGTCCACACGGTGGTGAGGAAGAAGAGCGTGTCCACAGGGTGCTTCTTGGAGATCACGTCCATGAGTCGCACCTGGGAAGGGGCCTCTGCTCGCACAGCAAGCCAAGCCAGCCTGGCTCCAGGATACCTTCGTTCCAATTCAGCAGCTGCAGCCTTCACTCCCAGAAATGGGTCAGGGCCCCCTCGGCCACCTTCCCGGGGCCCGTAAACCAACAACAGGGTGAGCAGCGCATGTTCTCGAGGCTCCAGAACACTGGCAGCAAAGGCCTCAAGGAAAGCTAGGGCTGCCGTAGCTTCAGGCCCCAGGAGCGGCAGCACGAGCTGCACCCTGGTGGCCTCGGTGACATAGGGCATAGGCAGGATCTCCACCCTGCTCAGTGGCCGCAGAAGACTGACCCTGCGCGCCAGAGCCCGCCGGTGCCCACGCTGTGTCACAGCTTCCAACAGCAAGTCCAGGGTGTACTCCATGCCCCGCGCTGGGTCAAAGCGCCGGTAGCCATTGAGCAGCCTCTGCTTCTGGAAGCGCAGGCGGGGCTGGTAACGACGATTGAGCTGCTCCAGAGCAGTGTCCACTGCATCGCCCACGTCTGCCCTGCCGGCCCCCTGCAGCGGGCACTTGGGGGCCCCATCTGGACAGGAGAAGATGTGCTGCTCTGTGAAGTAGTCCCAGCCCAGCACCTCAAAGCGAGAGTGTGGAGTGAAAGGGGCTGGGAGCCCAACCGGCCAGCTCAGCCCTGCCTCCCCCTCAGGGGTCAGCACCGTCAGGTTCCGGATCTGAGCCTAGGTTGGAGGGAATGCGCGCAGTGTTAGTGCTGGCCTTTTTAAGATGCCCCCAGACTCCTGCTGCCCAGGGTCAGAGGTTCCAATGGTAGACCTCTGGCTAACCTAGTCCCTTACAGGCAACAGGCTTTATCTATAAAGTGCAGAAGGGAGATGAGTGACACCCACCTTACACAACTGCTGCCAGGAGAGAGTGGGCCGTGTGCTTTGCACAGGGAAATGGATCTCAAAATACAGGGCTTCACAAACTTTCACACTCCTCTTCATGATCAGTCCTTTGTTCTCAGCTATACCACCCTCTGAGGATCCCCACACCCACTATAGAATCTCCTCCCTTCTACCTTTAGAGCCTTTAGAAGTCTAGAAGCTCAGGTTTTGTGGGTCTCCGCCTCTTCAGTGGACAGGCGCTACTGGAGAGGCGCTTGTTCAGATAAGCCCATGCACCATACCAAGCTCCCTCAGAGCATAACAAGCTCAATGGCTATCACGTCACCTCAGAGCTAACCTTACAATTTTCCTAGATTCCAGAGCCCCTTGTCGCTGTGGTGGTTCTTAAATTTAGGCAGTCATCGTCTTTATGCCCTCATCTCCCCCAGCTTTTCACTCCCTGTAAGCCTGACTCCTCAGACTCCCACTGACTGTCCAGCCATGGCCCTGGGGCACAGTCTACTGCCTCAGCTCACCTGCAGTTGTTCTATTTCACTGTAAGCCCGCTCTAGTTCCAAAGCACTGAAGCGTTTGTGGAGCCGGTACATGAGGGTACCCTCGGAGACGGGGTGAACAGCGAAGGCACTCAAGAAAGCCGAACTCCCCTCCTTCTCAGGGTCCCTGTTCTTGGCCAGTTCGAAGGAGCGATACTGCTGCCCCTGGAGGGACCAATTGGACCAATCAGGGCTGCACACATAGGCTGCCTGTCCCAAAGTCCCTCAGCACCCCTCAGCATTCACACCTGATGTTGCTACTGCTTTAGGACAGAGTGCACAGTGTGGCTCCCCTGGCCTCCATTCCTACTTCTATATCCACATTTTGGAAAGGAGAAAGCAGCAAGTAGACAACTACAGACACCCTGCCTCCCAGAGACCCCATCATTCCCCAAAGGGATCGCAGTTATGGGAAGAACCTCCTAGTGTAGGCTGGCGTGGAGGAGAACTGCCTGGGGTGCTCAGCCCTCCTCCAGTCTGCAGGGCTGCTCTCTGGGCTGGAAGAGGGATCTCTGGATGCTCTACTCTAGGGAGTGGCCATCTCTAGGACATTCCCACATTGTCCTGTGATATACACTGGGTGTGGAAAGGAAACGGGAGGGATTCAGACAGGGAGAGCTGCTGAGTAGAGGCATCTTTCTGGTTTGTTCAGGGGTCTCTGACAATATGAACTTTTGCTGGCCCTAGGACTGTAAGAAGGCCAAAGGTGAGCAGGGGGAGCTGAAGGGGCATCTGATATCTTGGGAAGGATAAAAGGATGGTCTTGAGCACTCAGCCTGGACAGCAGTCATTCAGTCCCTGCCAACCTATTGGGGAAGGGACTCTCACCTGGTGCTGCGACACACAGCCGATGCCCAGAGTGTCGATAAGGCAGCGGCCAAGCCATTCATCAGGACGGGCACTGAGGATGTCTCCTCGGCAGCCATCTAGATGTGGCCGCAGGCGAAGCAGGAGACTTCGTGACAGCAAGTAACCAAAGCCCCCATGACAGTACCGGGCCTGCTCGCCTGCACCAATGAACTCCTCTGCCCGACCCAAGTACAGGTCTTGGTTGATGCTAAGGTGGCCAGCAAGGGCTGCCAACCGGGGGGCCTGCACGTACGTGTCATCCTGCATGATGAAGAACCAGTCGTAGTCAGCCCCAAAGTGTGTGTGAAGGTGGCGCAGGGTCTCTGACATGAGCCAAGCAGGCCGCTCATCTCCATGAGACACCACCTGCATGCCTGCAGGAGCCCGGGCCCCTCGCTGCCCAGTGAAGTACAGTAGCCGAGGGAAGTGGTGGGCCACTGTACGGTTAACGGCCACGGCCAGGGTGGACAGTGTGGCTCGAGAAGTCAGGACGGCCACGAGCAAGCGCTCACGAGAACCCAGCTCCGTCTGGATATACCGAGTCCTATGGAGAGACCAGCAAGTGGTGGGGGGGTTGTCATCTCCTGAGTCATTAGGGAGAATGCGCCAGCTTGCCCAGCACGCACATCCCTAGGAATGAGTAAGCTGGGGTTGAGGAAAGGGGGGTGACCTCCTTCCTCATCAATACTAACTAGCTGCTAGAGCAAGTGCCCACTGAGTAGGCCGCACTAGAACTGACTAGCTGGGGAGGGAGTCTACTCAGGATGGAGTCAGTGGGTGAGTGCATCCCCTACTCTGTTTGAGAACAGCAAACACTAATTTAACACCAATGGATGAGACTGTCTTAGACTCAGGGAGGGGTAAAAATGGAGAAACCAAGGCAGGAACTGAGACAAAGAACTGCTCCAGGGAACTTAACACTGAGTACCCACCCAAAGGCAGGGCAAACAGCTCTAGAAGGAAGGCCAGCTTCAGGGGACTAGACACACAAATCACCCTCACCTGAGCACCTTCTTGTAGGGCTTGTTGGGATCCCTGTAGTAGGGGACAATCCGGGGTTTGAAGTCTTCATCGCTTTGGTCCAGCCCAGCTTTTGAGTCTGGATTCTGCGGCCCTCCTAGCTTCCCTAGAGCCTCTACACAGGGATCTTCTCCCTCACCCTGGATCCAGGACACCCGCAGGAGGCTCAGGCTGCATCCCAGGGATAGCCCCAGGATGAGGGGCAGTGCTGGCCGCAGCAGAGCCAACAAGGAGCTGAGTCGCATGGTGGCAGGCCCTGACATAGGGTGTCCCAGAGACAGGGTCTCAAGGATCAGTGAGCTGATAGAACCCAGGCCAACAGTTTTAACCAGGGAACCTGGGGTCAAGCAAGTCAACAACACAGTAAGGAGCAAAGTGAGCTGGCTTCCAGGCCTAACATCTTGGGGAAGACTGCAGTCTTCCCAACTCCCTATGCTTGGTCCTCAATCACCAGGGTGCTAGATACACCCTTCAACCAAATACTAACATATATGTGAATGACATCATTCATGGCTGGGATTACAGTCCCTCTTCCAGTAGAAAGAAGAAACAAAACTCAATAACGCCAAACCTAACCCCAAGAGGACCACACACATCTGTAGACTAAGTCAAGAGTCAGCAGCAACTAATGAAGGGGGGGAAGCACATGACCATCAAAACAACAGCCCAACAGAAGCCCACTCTGTTGCCCTTTCCTGAAGATGTCCTGGCCCACTATGCCCATTCGGGCTGCATAAGGGCCTGCTGGTCTACCCTTGCAGGCCACCCTAGGGCAGGCTAAGGGCTTCTGTGCAGGAAACCCACAGGCTACATTAACCCCTTTGCCCTTGTCACAAAGATCACCACCCACCCACACATAGTGCGCACAAGTCAGTCCACCCAAACGAGGTGGGCAGCCACGGTGACTCAGCACTGCTGGCCTCTCAGGGGAAGGCAATGGCTGATGGAACCATCTTGCAGCTGCAAGGCTAAGCTTCCCACCTTGGTGACAAATTACAAGCACTCTTGCTGTAGCCTATAGGGGTTGGCTGCCTGGCTTCACCAAACAAGGCCAAATAAGCCAGAAGCGACCAGAGACAGCAGTAATCATTGAGAAGGCAGGGGTCTGCGAGGACCCGGAGAGGTCCCTGCCCCGGCCGGCCAATGCTCTGCCAGGCCCCTGGGCGACCCCAGCCCAATCCCAACCCTGGAAACCGAGAAATCGCCTACGTCCCGCGACTGCAGAGGAGGGCTGGGCGTCCAGCTGGATGGTGAGCGGCTGGGGGCGGGGGATGCCCGAGGAGGCTGGGGCGCAGAGCGGCAGGATGCCCGGGGTGCGGGCCCTGGGGGCAGCACCCGCATGCACCTCGCGGGGGACGGGGAACCGAGACAGGGGCGACACGGACCGACCGAGGCGCCGGCTCCGCGGAGGCAGCTGCTGCCAGCTCACTGCCCGGCCTGCGTCTTCCTCTTCCGCTGCCCGTCAGTCACCCGTCTCTATGGTGACCGCATCCGGCCCCTCGCTCCCGCCATGTGTTCTCTATGGTCGCTCTCTGCACGCGCTCAGCCTCGAGTCTCCAAACTCCAAGACACACGAACGCGGACTGGAGCAGAGGTGTCCGGGAGCATCAACTCAGCTCTGCTCTAGAGAAAAAGAAGAAGAAAAAATGCACCTTTCCTGAACACGCTCCTCCTAACCGACTGTGCAACCTCAGTACCTGTCCAGCTGCTATGTCTACTAAACTCCAGGCGTCTCAGTGTGTAACTGCACGAGGTTAACAAGTCATGGGTGAGGGACTTGTGACCTGGAAGGAACAGCGGGCCTGTGCTGGTTAGTTTTTGTCAACTTGACACAAGCTAGATGCTTGGGAAAAGGAACCATCACCTGAGGAACTGTCTCCATCTGCTTGTCCTGTGGCCATATCTGGGGGGTATATTATACATACATACATACACATATATATATATATGTGTGTGTGTGTGTTTTATGTGTGTGTGTTTTGTTTTCATGTATGTAAGAGCACCCATGTTGTCCAATGCACACAGTTTTTGTCAACTTGACACAAGCTAGATGCTTGGGAAAAGGAACCATCACCTGAGGAACTGTCTCCATCTGCTTGTCCTGTGGCCATATCTGGGGGGTATATTATACATACATACATACACATATATATATATATATATGTGTGTGTGTGTGTTTTATGTGTGTGTGTTTTGTTTTCATGTATGTAAGAGCACCCATGTTGTACAATGCTCACAGAGGTCAGAAGAGGTCGTTGAATCCCCTGGAACTGGAGTTAACCAGATGGTTGTCGGCTGCCATGTGGGTGCTGGGATTGAAACCCAGTGCTCTTAACAGCTGAGGCATCTCTCAGCCCCATGGGGTATTTTCTTGATTGCTAATTGAATAGGAGGGCCATGGGCACCCACTATGGGCAGTGCCATCCCTGGGCAGGTGGACATGAGCTATGTAAGAAAGTTAACTGAACAAGCCAGGGAGAGCAAGCGCTTTGCTCCTTGGTCTCTGAGTTAGCTCCTGCCTCCTGGTTCCTGCCTTGAGCTCCTGCTCTGGCCTCCTTCAGTGCTTGTCACCAAGACTGATGACCTGAGTTAGAGCCCTAGGCCTGACTTGGTGGAAAAAGAGAACTGACTTCATCAAGTTGTTCTCTGATCGCCACATGTGTGTCGCACTGTGTACACACACACACACACATTTTTTTAAAAAAAAATTTTTTTTGGTCTTTTTGAGACAGGGTCTCTCTGTAGCCCCAGCTGGCCTGGGACTTGCTATGTAGACCAGGCTGGCCTTGAACTCACAGAGCTCTGCCTGCCTCTGCCTCCAGAGGTCTGAACTCACAGAGCTCTGCCTGCCTCTGCCTCCAGAGGTCTGGGACTAAAGGCATGCGCCACCATGTCTGGCTAAAATATAATTTTTATTTTTATGTGTATGAGTGTATTGCCTGCATGTGTGTAAGTGAACCTCTGCTGTGCAATGCTGGAGGAGGTCAGAAGAAGGCATGGGATCCCCTGGAACTGGAGTTAAGGATGATTGTTAGCCACCATGTGGGTGCTGGGAACCAAACCCCAGTCCTCTTCAGGAGCAGTCAGTGTTCATCACTGAGCCATCTCACTAGCCCCAAAATACAATTTCTTTTAAAGTACAAAATAGTGTGGGAAGCCAAAGCAGGAATAATTAAATTAGATTAGGTATATGGACCTGCTCAGATCCCAAGGTTCAGCAAGACTTATCTGGGACTAAAGCAGTGATCCAGGCAAAGAGAGCACAGGGAGGCTCTAAGAAAGGAAGGAGACTGACCAAGAAAGCCAGGGCAGCTAGAACCTAGTGCTGCAGCCCAAGGTGAACTAGAGGGGGAAGGATCACAGCTGGCTCCCAACAAGTATAGGGTCACACCTAGAGGACAGCTTGGAAATGTACAGGGACCATCACATTACATGGGGGAGGGGGTAAAAGGAAAGTTGATGTCTTTTAAATTTTTATTTTGTGTGTATGAGTGTTTTGCCTACATGTGTGTAAGTGCCTGAGGAGGCCAGAAGAGCAAGTAATTGGAGTTACAGTTGTTAGCTGCCATATGGGTGCTGGGAACTGAACTCCAATCCTCTGCAAGAGTATCAAGTACTCTTTTGTTAAAAAAATATTTATTATTTTTATTTTATGTGTATGAGTATATTGTCTGCATGTATGGGAGTGCACTGTGTCATGCACTGCCGCAGAGGTCAGAAGAGGGCTTCGGATTCCCCTGGAACTGGAGTTGAGGACGGTTCATAGCCTCCATGCGGGTGCTGGGAATCAAACGTGGGTCCTCTGCAAGAGCAGCCAGTGCTCTTAACCGAGCCATCTCTCCAGCCCCAAGAGTATCAAGTACTCTTAACCACTGAACCACCTCTCTAGCTCCGGAAGGTTGATGTCTTGCACGTTGCAAGAAAAGTATCTCATAAGAAAATTGTCCTTTAGCCAGGTGTGGTGACACACACTTTTAATCCCAGCACTTGGGAGGCAAAGGCAAGCAGATCTTTAAAGGTGAGTTTGAGGCCAGCCTGGTCTACATAGTGAGTTCCAGACCAGCTGGAGCTACGGGGAGACCACCTTGCAAAAAAAAAAAAAAAAAAAAAAAAAAAAAAAAAAAAAGGAAAATTGTCCTTATTCCCACACAACTTTCAAATGTCCAGAACATTCCTATAGGTTGAAAAAAGTGGTTAGAATCATATTGTTCTTGCACCTGTGTTAAAAAAAATGAAGTAAATTTGCAGGGCTGTGATTTGTGCTGAATTCTTAAGGAACAACTCCTATGTAAATGGAAGGAAGATGGTTGTGCTTGGCAGTTTGGAGAACTTTATCATAGAAATGCAACAGTGTTCTGAATGCATTTTTTTGTACTGTCACATTTACAGTGATTCTCCCCCTCCCACACAGACGTGTTCCTTCATTCGTAGTACCAGTGGAGGTCAGAGGACAACTTGTGGGAGTTAGTTCTCTCCTTCTACCATGTGGGTTTTAGGGATCCAACTCAGGTTGTCAGACTTGGCAGCAAGTGCCTTTACCTGTGAACCATTTCAATGGCTCCAATTGTCTAAGTATAGTGTAGGAGTGGAAGACATGGTTCCCAGTTCAGAGTGAATATTGCAGGGCTGGAGAGATGGCTAAGTGGTTAAGAGCACCAGCTACTCTTGCAGAGGACCTGAGTTGTTCATCTACAAAGCAGCTAACAATTGTAACTCCAGTTCCAGGAGAATCCAACAGCCTCTTCTGTCCTACACAAGCATTGCACACACAGGTGCACTTATATACCTCCAGTCAAAACACTCATACACATAAAATATAAATAAATAAGTAAACTTTTAAAGAGTGCACATTACTTTTTTTAATATTTTATTTTGTTTTATTTTGGGGGGCTTTTTGAGACAGAGTCTCCCTGTAGCCCCAGCTGTCCTGGAACTCACTATGTAGACCAGGCTGGCCTTCGAATGCTGGGATTAAAGGTGTGTGCCACCACACCTGGCTCTATTTATTATTTTTTATTTTATGTGTATGCATGTATCACCTGTGTGTAGATAAGTGCACCCGTGTCATGCAATGCCCGAGGAGGACAGAAGAGACTGTTGAATCCCCTGGAACTGGAGTTAGGACAGCTGTTGGCTGCCATGTGGGTGCTGGGATTCGAACCCCAGTCTTCTGCAAGAACAACCAGTGTTCTTAACCACTGAGCCATCTCTCCAGTCCCAAGAGTACACATTACTCTTGCAGAGGACCTGAGTTCAGTTCCCAGCACACATATGAGGCAGCTTGACCAGTACCTCCAGCTCCAGGGGCTCCCACATCCTCTCTGGACTCCTTGAGCATCCATACACATGGCACACACACACACACACACACATAAATAAAAGAATAAAAATTTGGGCACTGGAGAGATGGCTCAGCACTTAAGAATGCTGACTGCTCTTGCAGAGGACCCAGATTCAATTCCCGGCACCCACATGGCAGCTAACAACTGTCCATAACTCCAGTTCCAGGGGAGTGTGATGACCTCTTCTGACTTCTGTGGGCATTGCACAACATAGGTGTACTTACATACAGGCAGGCAATACACTCATACACACAAAATAAAAATTAAAAAAAAATTTTTTTTGTCTTTTTTGAGAGAGGGTCTCCCTGTAGCCCCAGCTGTCTTGGAACTCACTATGTAGACCAAGCCGGCCTCAAACTCACAGAGATCCGCCTGCCTCTGCCTCCCGAGTGCTGGGATTAAAGGTGTGTGCCACCACGCCTAGCAAAATAAAATATTTTTTATAAGAATAAAAACTTAGAGCTGGGCGTGGTGGGATACGCCTTTAGTCCCAGCACTTGGGAGGCAGAGGCAGACAGATCTCTGTGAGTTCAAGGCCAGCCTGGTCTACATAGTGAGTTCCAGGCCAGCTGGGGCTACAGAGAGACCCTGTCTCAAAAAGACCAAAAAAAAATAATAATAATAATAAAATAAAAGATAAAAATTTAAATTTAAAATGTGTGTAGTTAGGTTACATCATCAATGAACTTCATTTAAAAAATAATAAAGATGTCATAAAAATGTAACTAAAAGGGAGCAGTGGGACCCAGTATGAGAGCCAGGCTAGCGAGGTGAAGACAAGGAGGATCAGGAGTTCAAGGTCAACCTCTGTTGCATAGCCTGGGCTACGTGAGACCCTGTCTCAAAGCAAGACAAGGAAATAGGCTTATGAAGTTAAGAAGCAACAGTCTAGGGATACATAAAGGAACTCGCCTGCTCTGTTACCACCACATTGTTGCCCATTGTTTTACTTGCTTTTATCCTCAGTCTGCAATTAGATCTCTCATCAACCATTGGTGCTCAGCGGATGGTAATGAATGGATAAGAACACACTGCGAGGCAGAATTGGGACACTCAGAGGTCTGAAGATTTCTAGACCAGTGCTAACAGAAATACAAGCCACAAATGTGAACCATGTCTTATTTAACATTCCC